TCATCTGTTTTCATGGAACATCTGTTTTAGACTGTTCCCCGAATCCCCAATATGCACATCCAGCCTGTTTGTACAAGGTGACCATTCGATTTTCTCTATGTCACCATAGTCACTGATTGGCCCGTGTCATTGGGGTCCAGTAGCATAGGTTGCTGATCTGCAGTACACCTTTGGTACTGTATTTTGCTGATACCACTAGTGCCAGAGCGAGGTGCATCAGTAACAAGCACCAGTTTACTTGCCAGTGACATAAATGGGATTTCATCTTTAAAAAAAAAGTAGTATCAAAAGCACCACATTGTTAATTTTAAAGCAATACATTAAAAATTTTGCAAAAATGTTGCCAAACTTCAGATTTAAACCGCAAGTATAAAGCACGACAGAGTTCCGAGCTGCACGTTAGCTTGCTGCACCACCAATCATAAATGGTAGGAGCGCTTGACCACTGCATGTGTTTCATGACTGCTGCACTGTATGCAGTACCCAATATTTCTGACTTTCTGGGTGTCACTCGCTGAACATATTGCATGCACCTACAAATTGCTCATGTAGAAGACAACGCAGATGTTTATTGAAACATAAAAAACATCTTTTCCAAAAACTCTGTGAGTTCATTGCAATTGTTTCTTGACCATCCTTTTTTGCGAAAGGTTAAAGTTGAATTGGAAAAGCCTGTACGCTTATCTTGCAGAATAGCACTGTATACGTTATCATTTATCGGTACTCATTAAAAATATTCATTATTCATGGGGAAAGTGAACCCAGAATTGTGAAAAGCACACTTCACCTTTCTGGGGCAGCATTTTGGAAAGGAGGGTTGAAGGAAACATTTAGGAAGGGGCTCCTTGCGATAAGGAGGTATGAAGGGCTGCTCACAAGTAAGGAAATTGCCCGAGGTAAGGAGTGTTTCAAAATAAGACTCTAAATTAGCTATGTGTGCATGTTTTCTCTAAGCCTTTGATAGCTTGTGGAGGTGCAGAAGAGATAGTTCATGTCGTCTATTGCATGTGAAATATCTGTGACTGAGCATTGCAAAAGTGAGTGATGTCAAGCTGGGTCAAACTGTGATTGAGCTGGGAATGTTCCACATACCATAACTTTCGTTCAAACAGGCCTAGAAAATCTATTCTTGTTTTACTGCATACAGTATTCATTCTAGAGCATTGTGATTTGCTGATTTGCTTTATAACCCTCAGAATTTATAAATTTTGCACCTAACAGTATGCAGTCAAAGGTTGCTAATATATGCACGTTTTAAGCGTACAGTCGACCAAAACTTTAGCTATTGTGCGCAGCGGCCACTTTTTTGTCTGTCAGCACCATATTATGGAACGAAGTTACAAAAAATTGCTTTGTGGACATGTGCTCTATGGGCATACACTTGTCTTTAATTCTACTGAAACCTCATTTAGTCCTATGGCAAAGATGCATAAAAAAAACTGCTACTCATGCGCAATAGCTAAAGATTTGGCCGACTGTAGTAATGATTAAAATGTAGTTGGGATGAATTCCCGGCATAATTCTATAGAGATTAGTTCATTCGCAGAAGACTTGAGCCGTAGTGGTTCTTCCCCTGCGTACCGGTTAGTTTGTACCAGCTTCACACAGCTCATTTTTTGTGTCACAAAAGTTTGTTGCGCCGCTGAACTTTAAACAATGTGCCACAAACGGTTTTATGTCGTTTCGATCATTCATTCAGAATTGCACGTGATTGCAACAGTGCCTTTGTGGGCGATCATTGAAAAAGAACAAAGACGTGGTGGCGACCACCGAGAAAAACGCTGGTATGACGTATCGCTACAAGAAGCCTTATCCGCATCCTCGGCTATCTCAGGGGTGGAACAGCTGCGTCATTTGTGCCAAACTTGTTCACCTGGACCATCCTTCTTCGAACCACCCCCTTTGCGGCCAAACTCTCTTATCAGTGCCATATTGTGCCGCAGCACCCGAACTTGGCCGTAAGGTGCCTTGGGCCCAGAAACCTGACTGAAACATCGTGTTTTTGTTTCATCGAAACTGTTATAGTTGTGATTTTGTCAAGGCTGTGATCACTCAAGCAGCAGATCCGTGAACTTTCATTGTAAAGTCATGATCTTTGGCACCCACACCATCACGAAAAGCATCAACACGAATAGCTCATACACCCTTCTGCATGCTGCACCATCAACTCGAAAAGGCTGTGCTGAAATCTTTCCTGTGGTTTGTAGAGTTGCTTGATACGGGATCCAAAAGAGTTAGCTGCCAGCGTCACTAGGTATTGTTGTTACAGAATTCATTGCTTTGCCTTTGCGGTGATTTTTTTTACATGATGGCAGCATTTGAAAAAAGGGGAAAAAATGATGATGGTAACTGTGTTCAAGGGAAGTGTGGGTGCTGTCAGGCTCCATTCTCAGAACGGCGTAGTAAAGACAGGTGTACAGAACTGCTCTTCAAGCGCACGCGCGTATCTGCGTTAATTTTGCTGCTGTGCTGCGTTATACGTTGCTTATGGACTCTGTGGTTGACACTTGTGCATCGAGGTTAAAAAAATGGGTGGCTGTATGTAGCCAAGAAGTTGCACTACAAGGGCTTCGCAAAGAATGCGATAGCGATTTGTAACGCTATGCGCAATGAGGCTAGTAGCTAACTATTTTAGATCCAACCTCTCGTTTACAAAATGCTAATGTAGGAGAGTATGGCCATATTTTTGGCGAAGTCTCTTCGTAATGAGAGCACAGGCAAAGTGTGTGGGGGCCACACGCTGATATGGCTTCGAGCTAGCGTGCATGCCAGCAATCACCATATCTGCGCCCTTAGAAGCAAAAGTCGCAACGAGTATGGCCTGCTTTGACGAGAGGCCTAGCTGGATGACGTTATCGCATGCGCCCTCTGAGAGACCGAGATAGGCCGGCTTGTTTGATCCCTGATTCAGCCATGTTCTTCGCTTCGCCCGCGCTTGAAACACATGATGCACGGGGTACGTTATCTATTTGTACTTTATATCAGACATGATGGCAATGGTGAAAATTTGTCGGTAGTGCTCACATGATCGCTATCACACAATTTATTTTGGCATTTGAAAATGCGGCATTGGACAATATTGTTTCACAAATGCTGTGAAATGTAGCTGCATATGATGCGAGAGTTCTTGCTGACTGCACGGAACGTGCTGGAAAAGGCCTTTCTAGCTTCTCTAAGCCTGCTTCAAATATCTTTCTGGATGCTTCAAGTTGCTACAAAAGGCACTTTTGCCTGCTCCGAGGACTGCTCCAAACCCATGTGCCCTGTTCCACCCCTGCTAGCTGCTTGGGCAGGCATCTGGCATAGCACCACTTTAAGCCTACTGCACACATTTAGTGGGTGACTACTTGAACGTGCTGGGCTGGACCGTGTTCAATTGCGCATTGCTTTGCAGAAACGCTAGCAGCTCGCTGTCCCAGAGTTCAGCGTTGCATGTCGCAAGCACTGAGGAACTCTGCTGTATTGACGCTATCACACTAAGCGCACGCATATGGCACAACAAGGGTAACACTGTTTAACCATATTACACGCTTTTATTAGGCGACAGCCCACACATGTCTTCGTCCACTGTCGGGACCGTTAGAGCATCGCGGAGGGCGCATCAATTGTAGCAAGCTCGTCATCGCTGCAATAATCAATTAGGCTACGTGCCACATCTGTGCATGGTCTTAAGCGAAGTGGGCGCATTCTACAGCAAACGGCTCACCAGTCACAGCATATGTCGAGTAGGTGAAGCACTGTACGCAACTAGCCAGTAGACGATTGGCTGCCTGTGATCATACTGCTTAAAGAAGGAAAACAAAACTGTCAATTTTCACCAAGTATAATGCAGGTCACGATATGCATGTATCGCAGACAGCATATGTCCATTCTGCTTCTCTGTCAGCCACTGCGTATTCTTAGGGCCACCACCACGTGCTATTGGTATGTCATGCGAAAGTGCCAGAATCTTCTCTGCACTTTAGCAAAAAGAAAGGAATAGCTTTGTGGTGGGTAATTAAGGTAATAGTTACTGTGCCACTGTATTTATTTTATTTTTGATGGCAATGGCATACATCATAAGATCAATGTTTTACTTGGTGGTTAATATATACTGTAGTTAGTACGTAGTTGTGGGGCGTTTCTTGGCAGGTACATATTAAAGAGGTTGCACTGTATGTGAGATATTTGATATTGTAAAAATAGCAAATCATACTATTAAAATGGCTACATATTTAAAATCGGGACGTCAAATAACATAAGCCTTTAGTGTTTTATCAGAATCTACTTTAAAAATAAAGACATATAAGATGCAGGGTCTCCCCTTAAGGGCCGTAATTCTGATTGCTGCTGCTTATGCTAAGACTCCTGCATTCACCATTGGAATCAAATGCATGTAAGATGCCAGTGTTGCTCAATTTATGGTGCCGAGAGAGTTCACTATAAAATTATACTTTTGTCTTGAAAATTAATGGTGAATGGTTGCTCAGCCAAGATTTGTTAACTAAAACCCAGCATTTGTACACTAACTCAACATTGTCTTCAGGGGCAACTTTCGTTTGTCCCTGTAAATTCCTTTACCTAGTGAAAGGGATTTGTGTCGGAAATGTTTACGTTTAAGTAATTTATAAATGCATGGGCAACGGCTGAGGCCTTCTCTCGAGATCAAATGAGGCAAGGCCTGCTGTATCAATATATCATCCATTCTTTACCGTGTATTATATAATGTGTATTAGGTGGCATATTTTTGTCAAGTACAACCTCATTGTAACAGAAATAGAGTACTTGCTTTATTCGATTTGATTTGACTGTTGCGCGCGTTGCTGTGTGTGTGTGTGTGTGTGTGTGTGTGTGTGTGTTTATTGAGACAGTTTGGATTGTTTAACATGAACTGAGCCATGTTATCATAACATGAACCAGTGTTGTTAATGTGTGTAAAGAACGAACGAGTGTTGTGCATTTTTTTCATTTCTCTTTTTTCTTGCTCTCTCTCTCTCTGTTTCATTGTGGTGCTCTCACAGCAAGGTGGCAGTGGTGCTGGCTCAGAGAGTGGAGGCAGTGGGGCTGATTCCATGACTGGAGAGCCTAATGTTAGTGGGCGCAGCAGTGCCTATGGAGACAATGCATTGCCTGAAGGTGGCATGGCACGGTCAGAGACGAGTTCAGTCGGACTTCCTCTCACGCTGCCTCAGGAGGACCCTGACACAGCTTGGGGACTTCATGCCCAGCGTTGTGCCTTACTTGACCGAATGCTGCGTTTCCTGCCGCAGCTGCGCAGTGTGGGTGGAGTACGGGCCATACCATTCATGCAGGTCAGTGTCTTCAGCCCTGTTAATGTTCCATAAGGAAAAAAAGTTTTAATAGGCCAACCTGTAATAATTCAGGCCATGCATTATGTAACCGTGTTCTTGGACTGATCAATTCCTAGTGCACATATGTAGAACTTCAAGTGCTTACTTGAGTCAGCCATTTCTGACATTTAACATTTTGGATTTTTTTGTGGGTGGTGTTTTTAAAATTTCTTATACAGTCAAACACACTTATACAATATTCAAAAGCCATGAAAATTTCATTATTATAGCCAATGATTGCTATAAACAGGTTTCATGTAAAGGCCTTTGGGGGGGGGGGGGGGGGTTTACTGCTGTTACTTTAATAGCAAGTAAGTTCAGTTGTGTTCGCGGTCGTGATGTCCGATGTTTCAAAGTACATGCAATAACACCTCATTTTATTCGAACTCTTGTTATTTCGAAATCCCTCTTATTGTGAAGTATTTCTACGGTCCCATATTTTGCCATGTTAGTTTTAGTGCACAATTTGAAGCGGCGGTCAGCATCACCTTGGGTAACGGAAGATGCGGTTCGAAAAAAAAAGTTGCCTTAATCTGTAGCCTAGGGCAGTGAAATTTTTGCTGTATATGTAGGCTTTTATGCTGATTTCAAATATGCAATTAGTTTTGTAAGTTGTAGAGCTTTCTTTATGTGCCATGATAATGTGTATAGTAGTTTGTTTTGGAGAGCTTTTTATGCCACTAAACATTTATAGTTCTGAGCGGTTAATGACTCATATTGCTCCACATTAACTGTAAAATGTAAATAACTATCAAGAAAATCTGTATACAACGTTTTAATAGTCAAGAAAAATTGTAATGTGAGAAGCCTTAGAATTCTCAGCCCATACCGACTGTTTGCTTTAGGTTCATAATAAATATACATGCGATATAAAGTTTAGAGGAGATCTTTGCCGTTTTACACAATTTAAGAAGTATGTGGGCGAAATTTCATCTCAGCGGGACCATCAAAATTATCAAAATTGAGATATCCAAACTGAAGAAGTAGCCAAAATATGTATCTCAAAGAAAAGCTCTTTTTAAAGGTATAAGTGAAAGCTCATCTATGCAGAAAAGATATGTTTTTCATAGGCTTGTGCGAATATTCGAATGTTTCGACCATTCAAACGAATATTTGAGTATTCGCTTCGATTCTAATTTAAATTATCGAATATTTTTGAAGTATTCCCAATGAACGAGTAGGTGTATATTAATCCACTTGTTACCGGCTGTAAAAGTTGTTTCACTGCAATGTAAGAGTGCTAAGCCGTGAAAGCGCTTATTCAGGAGAAATTCGCTTTGCTGCGAAGCTTTTTTTTTTTTTTAATTTAAAGGCACTCTGCAACACTTGATAAACATGGCCAGAAAACACTACCGATTGGTAGTTGAGGCTACCGAGAATACGCGAGGCAAATATTATAGCGCAGCACGTGGCCTCCAATTCTCAATAAATTATCAAAGTTAAAAATTGCTTTCTTTCTTCAGCAAATGACACTATAACCTCAAAAATCACTTGTCACAGCCATTGGCTGATTCGAGCATGATGCGCTCGTCGTTACCGGGGTTACTGCGGGAGGCCGCCACTTGTCCACGAGTACTTGCGCGATCGCACTGAAAAGCCACGTATTTGAAGAAAAAAAAAAAAAAAAAGAGGTGCTCATGATCACGAGGTGCGTATGACGTATTTTCTTTCGCCGTGACATTCCTTTCTGCTTAACTTCCAGCTATTTCGTCGGGACGAGAAGAGAGAAAGCAATAGTAGCATGCTACAAGTTTTTGTAACTACACTCGGACTGGACTAATTCTAGAAACTTTGTGGCGGTAAATTTGTGAGGCAATAAGCATGTTTACTGGCTCCATGGCTACTTGAAAAAGTGTTGCAGGGCCCCTTTAGAGGAACATGTTACCCTCAAATCAATTCTTCATTTTATTAAGCTTGTTATGAAAGCTTATATGCTCCAAGTATAATAAGTTTTAAAACGTTAAGTATCTAACATGTTATCACTCGCATCCTACCGAAACTACTACCGAAGGTTGTTCCGACTTCCTTTGAACGAAAAAAAAAAAAATGGCATTTGCATAGAGACCCTGTATCAATTCAAAAGAAATATTGTGCAGGTTAGTTAGATCATGATAAATATTCTTTTTTTTTTAATATATGTCATGTATACCATTTGAATTCAATTCAAAATATTTGATCAAAATCACTATTTACACAAGCCTAGTTTTTCAAGATGATTTCTTCCATCATGAGAGCTTGGTAAGCAGTTATTCTGAGCATATGGCTTTAGTGAACTCCTTTTGCCAAATGCAATGGCAACAACCAGGGGACATTTTCCAGGTGACTCTAGACAATGAGCTCTTCTTAGTTTTTAGTAGCCATTTTGTGCACTTTAAAGGCCGTATTAACTTGCTTTGAGATCAATTACAATCCTGATTTTTTTTTCTTTCTTTTTTTTTTTTTGTGAAAGTAGACATAGACTTGTGAAAGCGAGTAAAAAGCAAAACTTGTGTAATTTTGAAAAATACTTAAGGTTTGTGACTTGCATCTTTCCTTAATTCAAAAACTTTAAACCATGTGCAAATGCACGATTCTGGTTTTGCCAGAAATCCGTGGAAACGGCAGCCGTTAGGAGCCACATGTAGCGATACTAATAAACGACAGCCAAACCACCTCAGCCTAGCTGCTTCCAATAAAAAATAATAAGAATAATTATAGTCAGCGGAAATGTGTGCCTGCGGAAAGTAAGATATGCTTCACTGCAACACACCTACACGGTGCTGACACGTAAGCAGCATGTCGCATGTTTCTCGCAACTTCAGCATGCCATGAACCGAGTACTATTGTAGTTGCTCCAGCTATTTGTACACTTGCACTGCTGGCGGAGTTCATGCTGTTGCGGATCTCAGCGCTGTTCACCAGTAGTCGCTCCGAATTTCAGCGCTGATCACCAGTTGTTGCAGACTGGGGTCTACCCGACGCTTCCCCGCTGATGGGGGTTGCCGGAACGTCAGGGTTACGTCGTACCTGGTCTCTTGTGGTAGCGTGGTGTAACTTCGGGTTGAGGAAACGAACGCTGACAAAATGGGGATACCAAAAACAGACAGGTTTATGGCACTATTTACAATTATTTATAGCATGAGGTTAGGAGTTTCACAAGCCACGAGCATAGTGGTTGAACCGTTACATGGTTCAGAGCGACGTCCAGCACTCTGCAGTGTCGTTTTAAGCCCTGTCGGGCTCCTCCTCTTTGATGGAAACACCAATCACACACACAAAACACCGCCCACAGGCCATCAGTCAATAACACATGTTTCGCCGAATAGTTATTGCATCTCCCAACTCAATTCTCTGAGAAGAGGGGAAATGGAGTTCTCTCCTGGAACAATTTGACGGTTAGGTTGCTTCTTGTGCCTTTCCCTGGAAGGGCTGCCAAGGAGTAGATACTTGAATCGGGGAGACACGACTTGTGTGGTCGGTCTGCTTCGCCGTCTTGCTAAACAAGCTGGCCCAGAGGAATTTCTTGTAGGGACATTGGCTCACGGAGTATCTTCTAATGCTTTTGTCACTCCCCGCCGCTGGATCTGAGAAACTGGGGTTCCGGGCGTGGGAGCGCTGCCCGGCTACGTTTCTCAGTGACAGCATGGCGCCTACTGACGAGGGTCATAATGCATACAATGCCTACTCGAAAACTCTATTAGAAAGCTTCAGTGGTCACATTTTCCAGCCAAACACATTGCAAAATCCGTCACCTTGGCCATTGTTCTTGAGATTTACCAGATAAAATGGGCAAATGGTCGCATAATGACGTGCTGACGCTTCGAAGACACTTCGAAGAGTAGGTGACATGCTGCCTGCGTGTCACCACTGTGCTGCAGTAGAGCGCATTTTTTAACCAGGTGCACATTTCAGTCGATCACGAGACTATGTTTTTCTCTCTCTCCCTCTCCTTTTTTTTCTTGTTGGCAGCAACGAGGCCTGCTATTCACCTACGTTTGTTACAAGATTGGTACCAGGCATTGCTGGAAAACATAACTCTTAGAGCCACAAACGTGCCAGCACAGCAATCAACCACGTCTCAATTTTTTCAATAATTCAAAGTTTCTTGCGTCCCAATTTTTTGTACGTTTTGTTAATGTGAAAGCCCTCTTAATTCAAAGATTTTTCACAGTTCCAGTGACTGAAGTAATGAGGTTTTACGTTCATAATGAAACAGGCACTCATGTGTGTCCTCTCTAAGTGTGTGTATTTTTTAGCGCGTTTCATCATGGACATATAGCAACATGCCCAACTGGCAGTGATTCCAGAGGTTTTACTGTATGTCAAACACTATCGTGAGTACGAAGAGTCGTTCTGCGATGGTCTTCGTCACGAAGTCCGAAGTGGTAATAAGCAGAACCTTTAGCTGTGAGTCAGTTAGAGACATGGGTCTGTTGCGTTCACGATGAGAGTGGTGTACTATGAAAACCGGAGGATGGAGCTTGCGTGTGCAGCTGCCGAACTAAATTGCAGGTATTTTAAATGTTCATATATCATTGAACACAGTACAATGGGGACACGTCTATAAGTAGCGCGATTGCTTAGAGCCGTAGCTTCATGACTGGCAAGCAGCACAGGATGCTCTCCCAAAGCAGGGAATCAGGCCAATGATGAGGCTTGCTGGAGCACGTTTACGGAGGCAGCCAATTAGAAACCCCAAAGCAAACTTGAAACATTTGGGTTTTGTATGCTTGTTTCTAACAGCACTAAAGGTAGTTTTCAGTGAATATATTATAAAGAAGGATAGAAAGTGGGCTACATTTTTATTTTTCTCACTCTCACAATTGCTTGGCACCCACAAAAGCTGTGTGCAAAAATCAAGTGACCTGTCCCACCGGCACTGGTGCCAGCGCTCGCGTGTGAAATGTTGTTGACTCCACTTTGGTTATACCAAGTCAATCAAATAAACACAATTCAGCCTCCACATTTTCTCATTCTGTACA